TGGCTCTGATTCAGGGAAGAGATGCTCTGTATTCAATTGCAAGATCCTATAATGAATTGCAAACAAAAACAAATAAACAAAAAGGCTACAGAGATAACATTTGTTCAAAGGCCAGTAAAGAATATTTGTGATTTACATAATGAATTGTAGCCTCTAATCCCTCAAAACCTACAGAACTCTTGGGGTCTTAACTCCACTCTGCTTCTTTTGCCTCATTCTGCTCTGACTTTTCATATTCTCTTTCCCTTCTAATTTCATCCTCACTATGTCTCTCCCCTTATTTATATCTTCCTCCCTTTCTGGTTGTTCTTTCACATTTTTTCTTGCCTATAACTTTTATTTTTCCATCTTGCTCCTTTTTTATGGATACGCAACACGTCTACTTTTCATCTTTTTTCTGTGTCCAGCTGCCTTTCATCTCCACCTGCCTTTTAACCATCAATCCTTTCCCCTATTTCTTAATCTCCTTTTATCAATATCTAGTTTCTTGCTAGCTATTCCTCTAACTGCCCATGCCATAAAACCAAATTATGCTTGTTTAATGTCTGTGTCTCCAGATGGATTATTCTTCCATGTCTGTGGTCCTTGAAAAGACACAAAATACATTTGAGGATTCTGAAGTAAATCCCATTACTCGTGGCACTGAGAGTTGGCATTTGCTTTGTACCTTGATTATGTTACAAATTTATAAAAATGTATAATATATGGAGAAGAATTTTTAATATTTATTTCTGCACATGAGACTACTAAAGCCCAAACAATGTGATACTTAATCCAAAACTATTTTTCTCATTGATTTCAGAATTCTTGATAAAAATGCTCCAAGCTAGGTCTAAACTCTTCTCAAGCATTTTTCTGTTGACTATTTGTGTACACAAAGGAAGGCCTGTCTACTGGCCTTGCTACACTCAATTATTACAGCTGCAATAAAGTGTGCCATCTGGCAGAAACACTCCCATGATTTTGGAGCTTAAATAATGAATTAGACAAATGCCAAGGAAGAAAATTTCCCAAATGACTTAGCATCTTCTTCAAGAAATTAGAAAATGAACCACAAAATAGATCAGAGGAAAGAAGTTGCAAAGTCATAAAGATAACAACAAAATTACCGGAGTTAGAATCTAAAAGCTGGTTCAGTGAAAAAATAACATAAAATAGATATAGCACTAGCTACACTACTTAAGAAGAAAAGGGACAAATTCAAATACACAAAACAAGAATTGTTAAATAAGCAGAGAAACAGAAAGAAATATAGGAATCACAACAGACTACTTTTTTCAAGTATGGCCAAATAAATTCTGAAAAACAGGATGAAATAAACACCATGCAAAGAAAATATAACTTGTTGAAATTCAGTTAAGAAGAAAGAAAAAGATCTAAAGAAAATGTGTCAAGTTGAAATTCCAGATATTTTTGAAGAAGAGGCTTTAAACAATGAGAATTGAATCTAGTTATACATGTATGTGCATTCAGCTGAATATCAGTTTCCCAACGGCTATGGAAAACAGAGACATTTAGGTAGGGCTTACTGGGAAGACCTAGTCTACATACCATCTAGTATCAGCTGAGCTCATTCATGCAGCTGCCTTCAATTGGCACCTGGGCTACAAGATCCAAGATGGCCACCTGCTATGTCTAGGTCCTTGTTGTGGGCTGCCAGGTAGGGTACTGATTCTTTTCCATATGGCCTTTCTGTTCATAGATCTTTTGTCTTCCAAGGCCTCTCTCTTCCACAGGAAACACTGATAACTAGTGACATTGAGCATTTTTGGGTATACCTATTGTCAAGTTTTTGTCTTCTTGGGGAAAATGTCTATTTAGTTTTCAGCCTATTTTTTTTAGTAGAGTGTAATAGAGTTTTTACTTTTTAAAAAATTTTTGCTGTTGAGTTGTAGGAGTTCCTTGTACATTTTGCAGAATAGCCTTTTATCATATATATGGTTTGCAAATACATGCTCCCATTCTGTAAGATGCCTTTTCACTTTGTTGATTGTGTCCTTTGCTGTGCAGAAGATTTTTCATTTGGAGTCATCTCATTTGTTTATTTTGTTGCCTGTGCTTTTGGTGTCATATCCAAGAAATTATTTCAAAGATCGATGTCAAAAAGATTTCCTCCTATGTTTTCTTCAAGGACTTTTACAGTTTGATGTCTTATGTTTAACTCTTCGTTCCATTTTAAATTGTTTGGGGGTATGGTATAAGGATCCAATTTCATTCTTTTGCATGTGATATCCAGTTTTCCCAGCATCATTTATTGAGAAGACTTTCTTCTCTCCATTGTATATTCAATACCCTTGTCAAATGTCATTTGCACGTATGTGCATAGATTTGTTTCTGGACTCTCTATCCTGTTCCATTAGTCTAAACATCTATATGCATGCCAGTACCATACCTTTTTAGTTGTATCTTTGTAATGTATTTTGAGATTAAAAAAAAATGTGATGCCTCCAGTTTTGTTTTTCCTCAAGATTGATTTGACTCTTTTTAATCTTTTATGGTTCCCTGTATAGAACCATTATAGAATTGTTATTTCTAATTCTTTAAAAATTCCATGGGGTTTTTCACTGCATTGAATCTGTGAATCACTGGGTAATACAGACATTTTAGCAATATTAAATCTTCTAATGCATGAATAAAAGATGTCTTTAATTTTTGTTCCTGTATTCTTTAATTTCTTTCTACAATGTTTTATAGCTTCAAATATAGAAGTCTCACACCCTTATTTAAGTTCATTCCTAAGTATTTTATTCTTCCTGACACTGTTGTAAATGTGACTTGTTTTCCTAAATTCTCTTTCACATAATTCATTGTTAGTGTATATAAATGGAAATGATTTTGTTCATTGGTTTTGTATCCTGAGACTTTAATGAATTAATATACACATTTTAATAAAGGAAAAAACTGTATTAAATTTGTAATACTCAAGTCACATTTACCTTCTGAAATTATAAGAAATGGTCATTGTGACCTGTGTTCTTTGTATTTATCTTTTGTTTTGGGTATACATGATTATTGCAATTTAAATATAGCTTTTCCTTTGTACGTAAGATCATATTACATGTAAGCAGGGACAATTATACTTCTTACTTTTTGATCTGGATGCCCATTTCTCTTTTTTCTAGTAGTAACCTATGGTTAGGACTTCCAGGACTTTGTTGAATAGAAATAGCAGCAATGAGATCCTTGTTCCTACTCTTAGAAGAAAAGCTTTCAATTTTTCACAATTGAGTATAATGTTAGCTAGATTTTCATATACGGCTTAATTACATTGAGGTATATTCCTTTTATTTCTATTTTTTATAATTTTTATTGTGAAATGGTGCTGAATATTGTCAAATACATTTTCGGCATCTATTGAGATGATGATGCAGTTTTTCTGTTCATGTAATATATCACATTAATTAATTTTTGTATGTTGAACCATCCTTGAATCCTGTGATAAAACCTACTCAGTTATGGTGTATGATCTTTTCAATATGTTGCTGGATCTTATTTGCTAGTGATAAAAAAGATGAAGGTTTCCTCCAAAGGAAAGAAAATCACACAATATAGCAGACTTTTCAAACACAATAATACACTGTTGTGATAAGATTAAGTGATTCCAAGAGTGCCAAATCCTATCCATTAGGCCACCAGGGGAGCTTAGTGATTTTGAACTGAGAATTATATATTCACCCACATTACTGTTATTTGTAAAGGAAAATATAATATACGTAAAATATTTAGGGATAACTTGAAAAATCTAAGACTACTTCAGTTGATTTAAAATTAAAAATAAATACTTAAAAACATGTATGTCCAGTAATGAGAAAAAACCTTACAGTTAAATCTATATTTTCAGATACATTATCATCAATTACATAGACCAACTAAGTTCATTCATTAGATTAAGTTTCTCTAAGCCAGAAACCAAAGACTCCTAGATTAGATTGTAAAAAACACAAAGGTAAAACCAATAAAATGCAGTGTATAAGACATAGACAAGATACAGCAGGTGCAATCAACAAAAATAAATCAGAAATGGCAAAATCAAAATTAAAGTACAATTTAACTGGCAATCATAGTCTACCAAGATACCGCAAGTGCAATCAACAAAAAGAAATCAGAAATGGCAAAATCAAAATTGAAGTACAATTTAACTGGCAATCATAGTCTACCAAGAATTAACTGTTCAATCAATGCAGCATGCAAACATATCAAAAAATGAATTGTTAAAAATATAAAAAAAGACTCCATTGTGCATTTATCAAAATTAATAGGAAAACACATAGTACAAAATACTTTTTAAATGGCTTTGGCTAAAAGGTAACCCAAGTTGATTTCTCGCTTGATTAAAGCTTTACTAAAAGATTTGATAATGTAAAAAAGGGCTCATGTTATATGTAAGCAGAGGGAGTTTTCACCTATTTTTTAATCTGTCAGAAGGGTAACAGTGCAAAAAATCTCTAAGTATATTAAAATGGTAGCAGAGACCACAGAAATCAGAAATAAATCTAATATTGAAGAAATGGCAGATAAATTTGAAAATTATTCATTTAAATAGATCTTTCCTAAAGCTAAGTAGTCCTAAAGTCCTTAGACGTAACTATAAAGGCATTTGTGGAGCATTGAGGCATAGCATTTAATTATCACTTATTGATGCTTACTACATTCAAGATTCTAAGTTTGATACATTAAATACACATTAAATATGTATGTATATTTGTATGTATATACACACAAAATGAATAAAGTCTTACATTTTCTAATACTGAATGATATAATTTATTCTAATTCAGCATACTTAACACAGAAGAATTACATTAATATTGGTATATATATTAAAAATAATAACTATGTGAAAAATGAGGAAATAATTTCTCAGAAGGGAGAAACTTATTTGTGAGGAACAGAAATTTGCAGTGAAGAAGAAACACTGAGGTACGGGATATCGAACATGATTATAATTTCTGTGACTTTGAAATGTAATGTATTAGAATAATAAACAGTGCTTCATTTACCTTACAGTAAAACGTAGAACTCTCTTCTTCATGGGCTCTGATTTTGTAGTCAGATGTTTCATTTGATCCCGTTTTATAGATGACTTCTTCAAAGAAGGGATGCGGACATCAGTGGAGTAAAAAAATAGTTTGGAAAGTGCACTGGCAATTCTCCATGCAATATATTTGGCAAAAACTTCTTCCTGTACATTTGATAAAACTTTTGTACTATACCTACTGAAAGGATCAGTTGGATCATTTAACTCAGCCTGTTGGAAAAAAAAAAAAAGGAACTGCTTGAAATAAGATTAAATGAAAGAAAATATACATTTTTTAAAAATAAAAATGTATATTTATATTTTGACTAGTATTAAATTCTTCCTGTTCAATAAAAATAACCTTTATGAGAAAAAATATAGTTTCCTAAAAGATTTTATAAATCGTAACAACAGTTTTCAGTGAAATGAACAATTAAGCATTAATGTATTTAGTCTTAAAATGTTGAAACTTTAATAATATAATTTTGAATTTGGTATACTTGCTTCACAAGAATTTCTTGAGAATTTATAAAATTTACTTAATAAGAAGTTAACCAATCAATTGAAGCAATGTATGCTTTCTTAAAATCAGACTTTTTTATGCATAATCTAAACTGTTCTTGATGTTAACAAAACATTTCTGTAGAACAAAATCTATAACTGAAAAATATTCCTCTTAGTAAAGTATCTCAAGAATGGAAGAAAAAGTATCCAATGTACTCAGCCCTACTATGAAACCAACTTATAGCTTTCATGAAAGCTATAACCCAATTGTAGACCAAGAATATGGGGAAAGTGGAGAGGGAGGAGAGGGGAGGGGGCAGGATGAGTGGAGGGAGAGCAAACCACACCCACAGTGCATCTTACAAGGGTACATGCAAAATTTACTAAATGTAGAATATAAATGTCTTAACATAATAACTAAGAAAATGCCATGAAGGCTATGTTAACCAGTTCAATGAAAACATTTCAAATTATATATAAAACCAGCACAATGTAACCCATGATTGCATTGATGTACACAGCTATGATTTAATAAAAAAAAAACTTGTATTGAGCTTAAATTGAATATGTTTTAGGATTTCGATTTTGATGAAGTTGAATATGTTCAAAAAATAGAAACAATCCAAAAATGCAAAAATTCCACACTTAAGTAATCTTTAATCAAGAAAGAGCTATATTTTGAAATTTCCTATTTATATTTAATAATGTCCATGACTGACTTTTTAATTATTTGCCTTGAAATAGCCAAAGGCACGTTTTCCTTGGCTAGCACCAATAATAATAAATGAAAGCATAAGTAAAACGGCATGTGTTTCAATTTCTCTTTATGTTTAAAATATGTTCATATTGAAACTCTTTTTCTTGTAAATAAGTTGGGTGCTGTTTCTTTTCATTTAAGTTTTTATATTTTTTATTGAATGCTATCCATCCCATTGTAGCTTTTAATGTGATTCAGGATTTATTTTAGATTCCTATCAATTCTGTAGCAGGAAATGTAGGAATAAAAAAATGCTTTTCTGCATGTGAACATCTAATTTAACCCCTTTAGGATTTCAAGATCAGGCCTGGCTCAAGTAAATCACTGTTGAAAGATTGACTATTGCATAAAATGAACAAAATAGTAGTGGAAAGAATGATAAAGATTTTTTAAAAGGTTAAAGCAATGAGAAAATGACAAAAGGGAGGTAGGAAAACATACATTACTTTGAAATCTATAGAGAATGGGAAAGAAATTTAAAAACAAAAATATGATAATGTGAAAATCATATAAATAGGTTAAGCATTCTCAGATGATCCAGCAAGTCCACCTCTGGGTTTATATCCAAAAGAAATGAAATCACTACGTCAAGGAGATATCTGCACTCACATGTTTATTGCGGTAGTATTCATAATAGTCAAGGTATGATATCAACCTAAGTATCCATCAACGAATGAATGATGAAAATATGGCATAACATACAACAGAGTACCATTCAGTCATAAAAGAGGAAAATACTGCTATTTGTGACAACATGGATGAGCCTGGAGGACATTACGTTAAGTGAAATAAGTGAGGCACAGAAAGATAAATACTGCATCATCTCACATAAATGCATCATCTAAAAAGCTGACCTGAGAAGTACAGATGAGAATGGTGGTTACTAGAGGTGGAGCATCGGAGAGACTTTGGTAAAGGATACAAAATTTTAGTGAAATACAAAAAATAAGTTCAAGAGATCTAATGTGCACCATGGTGACTACAGCTAATACAGTTATGCTGCATTCTTCCAAAATGCTAAGAGTGTAGATTTTAAGTGTTCTCACAACAAAAAATCATAACCTTGTGATGTAATGCGTATGTTAATTTGCCCAATTTAGCCATTTCACAATATACATATATTTCAAAACACCATGCTATACACAGTAAATACATATATACAATTTTACGACAATTAAAAATAAACATTACAAAAGTAACAACATCAAAAAACAGCCTCTCCTTTTTTTTAGATAAAATAAACCTTTATTACTATTTCTCACTAAAATATAACCAATCTTAAAATATTTTTGATTTCAATCATCTCTGGACATTGGAATCTATAAACAGTTACATGTACACTATTCTCAGTTGAGTATCCTGCTTGCTAACTAGGTAGAAATCACAGAAATTGTACGTACTGGATTTGAAACAGAAAGGTACACTGAGTCTCTGACACATGGTGGCTGGTGTAACTTTGAGGACATTACTTAACATCTCAAAATCTATAGCTTTATCCTTAAAATGGTAATCACAATACCTGTGCTGTTGATTCTGATAACCTCTCCTGGCTTAATTAATTTTGCATAAGAAACGATACTTTGAAATCAATGGCCACGTGTATCAAACAAATGGTAAGACATTACGGAGAGCTCTTCATGACTAAGGGAGTGATGAATGAATAAATGCGTATGTAAAGGAATGGATCAACAAAAATAATGTCTTCTCAGGACATAATTTCTGTAAAATACATTGTTTTTAAAGGTGGTCTCCCCCATCCTACAGACTATGGGATGCTTCCATCATATCTCACTTGACAACCTCCTCACTTCTTCCTTCCAAGACAGAAAAGGGGGTTGATCCAGATGCCAGCTCTTTCCATAAAATGAAAGCAATCCCGCATCTTTTACTGTGGTTCCCTGGTTATTAGATTTTGTCGTCTTAAGTCAACATATATGTTATATCGTATTCTACTGGTAAGTGTTTAAGGGACTATACTTGTGCAAGAATACATCTCACTTTCTATACTCAGATTTTCCATCTATGTCAAAAGTTATGCCACAAGCAGAGGAGAGAGACACTGAGAAAACTGAAACTTACACTGTGTGTTCTCTTTTGCTGTTCCACAGAATGCATCAGTAGTATGGAAATATCATTAAGAATAAAAACAAATTTTACTTTAAAGACTTCCCCATAAAAATGTTCACCACAAAGTGTTTTACCTCCTGAGTCAAAGGTTCTCTGCATAAAGTCACATACTCATTTTAGCTGTACATATTTCTTTTTGCTATTTTAGGTCATATACCAGATGGCAGAAAACACTTATACATGATGACTTTTCCTAGATGTGCTAACATATGCTGCTGAATTGCCTATACAGGAAAACCTTGCTCACTGCAAGTCTCCCTGGAAGTATGTCAAACAAAGCACATCAATTAACATTTGTTTATTATGCCGCTGTGAGTATATGACAGTTTTGATTTCTTTCCCAAATACTCAGGCAACAGTTGGGTTTCCATTGAATTTGTCACATGAAGAGCTGATGTTTAGGGATCTACTCAGAACTGCTTTACATTTCAAATATGCGTATTAAATATCTCACCTCTCTGCAACCTCCACTAAGCATCAAATTTTATGGATACATGTATAATAAGAATGATGGATGATAGAACATTTTTATGAATTAAAAAATAAAACATACGAGTAGATAATGTAGTTAGTAATGGATTTACAAGTGTTGTAGATAAACAAGTATTAATTACAAAATTATATTTATCAAATTCAGTAATTTATCATATGGATCAAATATTTATTTTTTTAAGAATAAAAGAGAAAGTTTCTACTTAATTACAAAAGCACTGAAGTATACCCAATCTTTATGAAATAAGTCCTTCCCTTTATAATGTAGTGTACAAATACATCTTACTTTCATCTCAGTAGTTTATGAGTAAAGCTGGGTTCCACCCTATGCAGGTAATAAAACTATTACACAAGGAATGATTTAAAAACAAATAATCAGGAAAGAAAAAAAAGAACAAAGATTGTACTAGAAACAGTTATTTGCAATAACTTAAATAAAAGCAGAATACATATCTTACTTTAGATCAAAGTATCTGAGGCAAAAAGTTTCATTGTTTTCTTAGATGTTCACTATTTATGTGCAGTGGGAGAGAAGCCAATACCCATAAAAGAAAGCTTCTCACAAGTTTCTATCTTAGATCTTGTCCAAAGAGGTACCATGGTGTAATAATATACATTGATGCAATGGAATTTAGAAATTAGCAAGTGCCTAAGAAAACATAAGGACACTTATAAATAAATAACATTTGTAGTTTTATTACTGTAAAGAATCATTGCCATTATAGTGTCAGACAAGAAAGAGAAAGAGAAGAAAATATCAAGTCTATCAGGATCATGTTTTACCATAAAATTAAATGCACATGTAAAGATGTGCCTAATTTAACTTATATGGCATATAGAAAGTATTCTGACTATTCCATATAAGAAAATATAATTTTAATAAATTTAAAATATTGTTAAAACATTTTACACAGAGAGTAAATGTGATAATTCCTTGGAAATAATTTTGGTTTGTATTATTTGTGTATATGGCATTTGATTGTTTAAATTTGTCTAAGTTTCCATTACATGCATTAACTCCATTAAGAAAGGAGCCTCAGAAATATAATAAATATGGATGTTCTTTTACTCAGTAAATTTACACAGTTTTAGCTGTGGAGTTCAAGAAAGTCAAAATACCACACAGAGCAGCAGAACAGTCGCGTGCACAGGGAAGACAGAGAAATTGAGACCTACAAGGCACTAATCACTGTGATCTCTTGAAGAATTAGGTATGCAGCATTTGAGGGAGTTGCTTTAGATGTTACTACTTCTAAAACTTGGCATTGACATGATAATTCTCCATTTGATATTAAAAATTACCACCTAACAATAAACTGGAAAAAAAAAACTTTCACGACCCAAATCATAA